TTCCAGAGAGGCACCCGGACTTCATTTAGAAATGAAAAATCCCCTGTTTCTTATGGCCATTTGTTCCAACAGCTAATTACCATCACTTAAAACCCAAAAAAGACATAAGAAACCCTGGCTGTCTCCTCTCTAACCGTACTTGTTTAGCTGAAGTCCTCAGCCTTGATTCTGGTTATGCCTCTCCCAGCTTGGCTGAAGAGTCTTTTAGTACCCAATATTTTGTCTCCAAGAGGGTATATACATAACATAATTAAGGATCTCAGTGTCTTTGAAATACACTCAACTCCTTATGACATTTTTTTTCTGAGCATTTAATCACTTTTGCAGCATGTAATCACTATCTGCACGATTTTCAACATTCATCCTGATGCAAGGACATTTAAAAGGTTGATATGATCAGTTCTAGAATGTGCAGTGAAAGTAGTTCTCAGCCTTTTTAGAATGGACATTTTTCTCCTTTTTGTTTTTTTCTTTCTTACTGTACACATTGATTCATATCTAGAGTAATAAGGAAATGTACTGTACAGGCAGTTTCCACAATAATAAACCAGAACTAAACTCTTCAAATCGTGTCCACAGAAGAGGGATTACCAATAATAATGATGTAGTTTAAAAGAATGCTGCCAGAAAAACTGTCTCCTTCTCCATGTTACTTTCGTATTCCACTGGGCATGTGCACAGTCCAATCTAGGTAACACATGAAGACTGCTTTTATTTCTTCCAGCAACTTGCTGGGTAATGCTGAATAAACAAGTTAACCTAATTTTTTTCCACATTTAAAATAACACTTTGAGATTTCCTAGTAATTTTCTGGACATAAATTCAATCAAGCATTACATATCAGTGCCTTAAAAATATCTGGACATTTAAATAAATATAGCAAGGCGAACGTTTCCAATACAAGTATACAAAAGAAAACCAGCCATAAAAAGGGTGGTTTGAGAGGGGCACACCCCTGAGTGTTACTCCGATGCGACTGCAAAGAAAATTTGCCCAAGACTTGTCCATTGCTACCCCTGCTACTATCACCTAGAAAGAGCTAAGTCCACAGTGGACAGCATACCTAAGTCCAAAATCAATTCTTCTGTCTCCTTATGTTAATTCTTACTTTCTCTTGTATCTTCCTCTCCAGTAGCATTTATTAGTATTTCATTTTAAAGTAAGATTAGCCTCATCAATCCAATGATGGCCAGATATCACTATCAGTTAATGGGAAGGTCCCGCACAACCAGACACTCATGATGTGTCCAAACAACGTGTGATTTAATGCTATAAATATGGTATGACAACAGCCACGCCACAAATTGCGGCAGAAACTAAAGTGGCAGAATCACAAACAAAATTTGCCTCCAGATCCTCTGGGCTTGGCTTCACTAATAGTTTGAAGAACATCTGATAAGGATTTCTAGTAACACGTACAAGACAGTGTAACTTACTCAAGTGTGAGATACAACACAAATGAACAGGTACAAATATGACATTTTGAAAAGATTCAGAATGGATTACCTAAGCCCATATTTTTAAAACAACCAAGCTCAGTGCTTAACTTCTGCAGGCCAGACAGTCACACATTCAAAAGGAAGTAACCGACCCATAGATAAACATTGCTGACATGGCTCTGCGGTTGCAAGAGGCTGTTCCTTTCGTCTCTCTGCAGGGAGCCTACCGACAGAGCCTGACCGCGCGCAGGCAGTGAGTGCACACAGGCTTTCTGAACCAGAAGGTAAATGCACATGTAAGTCTACACAGGAACTGGACAGAACCACCGTTCTTTACCACGCAGTCTGACATACTGCATGTGCCTTTTTTTCCAGTAAAGGCTGCAGAATTGTGCTGCTCCATCAAAAACTTTTTTAAACATACGCTGGAAAAGGCCATACCGATTCCCCAAAACAAAGTGAACTGGGTGTCTCCTCTCAGGCGCCGCTCCCGGCAGGCGGCCCCGGCGGGCAGAGGCC